AGTCACGAAAGAAAAACAGCGCGCAAACAATCTCGAGCTTCTTTCCCATCTTCGTGCAGCATCCGTGTAGTTTGTAGAGTATATAGNCTTTTAGAAACATTTGTGCATGCTAGTAACTGAATTCCAGATGACCGTAATGTAATAGAAATGCCAGGAAATCCTCATGGAAGCGGAATACCCTGAGAGACCAACGAAATGTATGAAGCTCGAGGCAAGTCCCCCTTATTCTTGTGAGATTTCTTAGCAAGCTAATCACACAACAGAACCCAGAAGTTCTTCGATTTTTGGATCTCGAAGCTGAAGTATCAGAGGCGGAAACTGATGATGAGAATAACAGCAACGAAGGTGTGTATCATATGTTGTAACGATAGCTACTACACTTCTAATCATTTTCAAGGTGATCTTATCGACGACGATGAAGACATCGATGATTCGATCTCAGGAGATGCGCACCGCAACCTTCTCCATGAAGCGTTGATGCCGTCCGATGATGATGTGTTTTTGGAAAGCTTTCTCGAGCGCGTCACGGCTCATCGACATATTATGGAAGAAGACATTCAAGATATCGGAAAACCGTCTTTATGGGCGGTGCTTGTCAAGGTAACGCTAATCCAATCTTTGAAGCTCATATTTATAAGGACTTTTCTACTTAGCCTGGGTATGAGGAGGGGATAGTCTGTCGAGTCCATCGGCGGCTCATGGACCCTAGGTTTCCTGCACAGTTTCGACCCCCAGCGGTCTTTGGTTGGAAGGCTCTACCTGGTAGAGTGTTTTTTGAAGGTGGTTCAGAGGAAATGATTCGACAAGTCTGTAATGGCCTACCAAACATGATGGTCTCGAAGACTTTCCACATACCCGATCCCAACCCCTCAATTTTCAACGTTCCGGATACCTTTCAGCCATGGCCTCATTCATGGGTTCGACTGCACCATGGGATCTACAAAGGAGATCTTGCCTACATTCGGGAGGTTACTACTTATTCAACATTGCTCATCAACCTCCTTGTGGTACCACGTGTTGATTATGACCCACCTGCCGCCAAATTCAAAGGAAGCCGGCTTATCGCATATGAGGACAGAAATAATGAGATGGACAACGAGTTTGCAGCGACCTACAAGCCTGACCGCGAGCTATATAGAAGAGCTTCAGCACCAGGGCGGCCTCGCCAAGCCCTCTTCAATCCGACACTGGCAAAGCAACGGTATCGACGGGCCTTTCAACAATGCAACAACCTGTTTTTATTCCGCGGAGTNTGTTGTACGATGCCGAT